TGCCCCGGGGTAGCGGGGGGGGCAGAGGTGAAAGTGGCCGTAAGGACCGGTCGGCCCGCGTATGGCCAGCCTTTGGCTCCCCCTCTTGGTGGCCCTGCCCGTAGGGCTGTGGGTGGGATGGGGGGGCAAAGGGCACAGCTGCCCTTGGGCCTAATGATTTCAAAGGCCCCAGGCCTCTCAGCTGCTGTGGCAGCCGGGAGCCCAGCTCTGTCAAATTGCTGCTGGTATCCTGGCGCCCCAGCAGCGATCCCTGGAAGCTGGGCGCTTGGCCGACCACTGGGGAGAAATTCAGATGCTGCCCAGCTGATTAGCAGAGCGCCCCCAGTTAGATCCAATTGGTGCGTGTGTGTATGGGGGGGGGGTATGTAGAGGTGGCGCTGAGTATCTTGTCCCCGATCCAGCTTTGCACGTAGGCATGGGTTAGGCCTACTAGCTGCAATCAGGACTACTGAACATTGAGCAGGGCCGACTTATCCATTAGGCACAGTGCCTAGGGCCCACGATACTTTTAGGGGCCCACGAAAACATTTCGATTTCTTTTAAAATCAGAAGAAAAAAAACCCAAACTTTTAGGGTCGAAGAAAATGTTTTAATTTTTTTCTCCCATCAGACAAAAATGAAACTTTTTGGGCCCATGAAAATCTTATTAAATTTTGCCTAAAACAGGAAAAAATAAATAAAAATGTGGAAGTATTTAAAGTTATATGAAAAATCATTTTTCATTTTTTTTTTAATGGAGGAAGGAGCCCAGGAAGGCCAAAGTGCCTAAGGCGCACAAAAGTCATAATGCGGCCCTGACATTGAGGTGGTGTGTGTGCTCAGAGTGCTTTGCTGGGTCATGTGCTTTGCTGAGTGTGTGACTCAGCTGTGATTTGTTTTTGGAGGAGGCTGGAAGGTGAGAGGAGGGGCTGGGGGAAGTGGCAAGGTCTAGTCTGCAGGAAAAGCAGCACTCATGAGCTGAACAGTTCAAAGGCACTTCTGTTTTTATTTGCTTTTCTCCATCCTGCCTGGGAGTTTCTCATGATCTTTGAGAGGAGCCTGCAGGCCTTCTAGCTCTCTTACCTCCCAATAGCCACCCCAGAAGTGACCTGTGAGTCAGCTGTTGCTTTTCTGGTTTCTGCTCTTATCCAAGGGTCATGGCCCCCATCTTGCCATTTGACCGTCACCCTGCAGAGTCCTTCAACACCAGTCTGGGTCATGTGTCAAGAATCACGGTTTGGGGCTTTTTTGCTGTAGCAAGACTAAACAAAAAAGTGGTTTTCATTTTTTTTTAAAATATAACTGCAGAGACAAGTTCATTTGAATTTTTTAGATGTTCTTTAGGCCAGTGTTTCTCAACCTTTTTTTATAAAGTTCCCCTTTTTGGAAAAAAAGTAATTATAAGTACCCCCAGTATCTGCAGTTTTCAGACACAATTTTTTTTTCAACACATTTGTTTAAACAACTTAATTGTAGCCAGGTGGGCGATGAAATTTTTGGGTGTAAAAAGTACAAAAAATAATAAAGCGCTGTAAAACTTAAAACAAAATTTCAGTTTTCTCCAAATTTCAGTTGTGTTGACGTACCCCTCCCCCCCAGACTTCTCTCAAGTACCCCTAAGGGTACTGTATCACTGGTTGAGAAACACTGCTTTAGGCAAATGGTAATTAACGTCGATTATACACATCGATTACAACACCTGCTGCTAAAATAACCCACTCTGGGGCAGGGGCAGTCGTGGTTTGAGAGCCCAGCACTCCACACGTATAGAGATGAACATATTCCCTGTTTAATTCCTCCTCAGAGCCCTGGTGTAGATGCAGAATCCATCCTCTCTTTGTCCTTGGTGGAGCTCTCTGAGAAACTGAGGCACGGTTCTCTTTCTCCAGACTGGGTCTTCTATGCCTACGTGGATAAGGTGAGGGATGCACGGCTCGTGGGTTGGTGTGGTTTTGTCCTGGGAGGTGTGAAAAGGTAGCATCGCTCTGTGCAAACAAAAGATACACAAAGCCTTTCCAAACAGTTCACGGGGAAACAACGCAGATGCTCAGAATTACAGTTTGAGATGTCTGCAGAGAAAAGCGAATACAGTAAAAGCTCGGTTATCCAGCCTGTTAAAGCCATGGGGCGTGTGGGGCAATTGAATATTCTGGTTAACTGAGAGCTATACTTTACCAATGGAATGCCAGTTTTCAAAGAATTAGAATACAATAAAATGATTGAAGTATAATATAGTGCGCAGGTACTCCCCAATCCAGAAGCCGGACTGCATTGCGGTGTGGCTGGTTTTTTGAAGCATTTAGGTGTGTACAGGTAGGCTGTGTCTAGACTGGCCAGTTTTTCCGGAAAATCAGCCACTTTTCCAGAAAAACTTGCCAGCTGTCTACACTGGCTGCTTGAATTTCCGCAAAAGCACTGACGATCTCATGTAAGATTGTCAGTGTTCTTGCGGAAATACTGTGCTGCTCCCGTTCGGGCAAAAGTCCTTTTGCGCAAAACTTTTGCGCAAAAGGACCAGTGTAGACAGCCCAGATTTGTTTTGCGCAAAAAAGCCCCGATTGCAAAAATGGCCATCGGGGTTTTTTGCGGAAAAGCGTCCGTGCCAATCTAGACGCTCTGTTCTGAAAATGCTGTGAACGGAAAACTTTTCCATTAAAAGCATTTCCGGAAAATCATGCCAGTCTAGATGTAGCCGTAAAGTTTTCGATGCAGTAGGTTATCTTGCAACCCTACAGACTGCTATGATCAGCGCATGTCGTACACCCAGATGGCTGAAAATACACGTACTACTAAAACTTAAGATAATTTAATCTTTCTTTGATTCAGGAGGCACTTCAGGATCTCGCAGTGCCTCAGGGTCGTCATTATCAACTAGGGATGTAAAATCCCGTTTAATTAGTTAACCCGATTACCGGTAAACGTTACCCGGCTGCTTCCGAACCTGTGCTGGGAGCCAGTAGTCCTCCCTCCCCTGCTACTGCTTCTGCCTACTCGCCCCTGCCAGTCCACCAGCCTGTGTGGGCTGGGATTTGGCAGTACACCAGCTCTCTTCCCCTCCGCAAAACTGCTGACTCCCAGTCTTCATGGGCTGGGAGCCAGCAGCTCTGCGGGGCTGGAGTAACCCTCTGCCTGTGGCAGGCCACTCCCAGGTAACGGTTTCCTGGTAATCGTTACCCGTTCAGGTTGATGCTTCCTGGATAACCGGTTACCCGTTCGCATCCCTATTATCCACATCAATTATCGTTGTAGGTGTAGAAGATCTAGGACAGTGGTCCCCAACACGGTGCCCGCGGGTGCCATGGTGCCCACGGGGGCATTTGTGTGCGCCCGCCAAGTGCTCGGGGCTGGCCTGGCCCTGGGCATGTGGTGCACGGTGAGTGCCAGCACCGAGAGCGCTGCAGATTGGCTACCCGCGCTCTGGGCATGGGGGGAGCGCCGGCCCCGGGCGCGCGGCCCTTGGGCGGGGGCACCGGTCCTGGGCGTGCGACTATGGGGGGCCCTGCCCCCGGGCATGTGGCTATGGGGGGGCCCCACCCTTTGGCGCCCGGCAACCTTAAATGGTTGGGGACCACTGATCTAGGAGATAGATTCAGCCCAGTGAGACACCCTGGAAGCTGCTTTTTTGAATAAATCCCTTGTTTCAGGCTTGCTCGTGTTTTCTGCCTCTTTTGCCTCACGGCAGCGCACAGAATATGCAATTCCATAACACGTTGGGCGGTACGCTCGTCCCAGTTACTAGATTGAAGATTTGTATTGGAAGAGATGAGAAATGCTGGTGAATGGAGCTTTCGCATTATCCAAGGGACCGATACCGGAGTTTTTACTGTGTTGTGGCCGTCTCTAGAGCAGTGTTTCTTAAACTGTGTTCTGTGGCGCACTGTGCCGCACGATGGTCGGAGGTGTACCGCATCCTCTTTTAACTCCCCACCCTCCTCTGGTGGAGACGGAAGCTCAGCTGTAGCCCACTCACTAGCCTAGGTTGCCCATTGCTATCAGGGCCGGATGGAGGCATGGGCAAGCCAGGCAGCTGCCCAGGGCGCCAACCGATGGGGGTGCCTGATGGCAGCTGTAAGGGGCGCATGGCATCCCTTACAGCTGCCATCAGGCACCACGTGCCCAGCTCCCGCAGCGCCAGCCCCGCAGCGACAGCCAGCAGCTCCCTTCCTCTCATGGCTGCGGAGCCCTGCATGGCCGGGCACGTGCGCCAGCAGCACTGGCCGGGCTGGGCTGGGCAGCGCATACGCCGTGTGCTCCGGGGGTGGGCCCCGGGTTGTGCGCCAGCGACTGTGGCCGGCCCGCGCATGTGCTGTGCACCCTGGGGCGGGCCTGCGCACACTGAGATGGGGTGGGCTCGCGCCCCATGGGCAGGCCTGCGCATGTGCCATGTGCCTAGGGGTGGCGCCACATGCCCGGGCCCAGGGCGCCGAAAGGTCTTGGGCCGGCTCTGATTGCTATATTCAAGTCTCCTTTCAGTGGTAGATGGCTACCTAATTTCCACTGCCTTACTCTTTGTCATCTGTAGATCTTCAAGCAGATCACTATCATTGTCCCCATTTTACAGATGGGGAAACCGAGGCACGGTTTCATCCATTTGGTGAACTTTTTTAAAGGCTAAATAAAGCATCAAGCTTTTCATTGTCTTCCAATACCACGTATAAGGTTAAGATTTTGGCACCGGGATTTTTTTTTAAATTCATGGGCAGGATGGGGACCGTAAACAATCACAGAAGCCAAGCCCCCATGCCAGTGCGGGCGGACAGCAAGAGTCAGAAATCACCGAGCTCTGCTAAAATCACAGAATCCATGGTTTCTGGGGCAAAATGGCATCCTTAATCCTGGCAGAAGGAAGGAGAGTAGAGGTGAATGGGCGAGGAAACATGTATTTAGAATTTATTTAAAAAAATAAAATAGTTCATGGCGAACACGTTATTTGACAAAATGTAATCACTGAAAGTTATCCAAATAAATGTAAACATTGTTCTGTACCAGATCCTTAGCTGGTGTCAATGAGAAAATTAGCAAACCAGCTACATGGCTCATGGGTGTGACAAATCAAAACCTCTGAGTGACTTAATTAAGCCCGCCTGTAGACAGTGCTGGGTTGACAGAAAAATTCTCCCATTGATCTAGCTACCACCTCTTTGTGAGGTGGATTTACTGAACTGATGGGGGGACCCCACTTAACTGTGTCATTTCACACCCTCCCCCCCACAGAAATTGTCCTCGGAAAAAGCTGTCCGAATGGGGAAACACATTGGCTGTGTCTACACTGGGCCACTTATTCCGGAAAATCAGCCGCTTTTCCGGAATAAGCTGCAAGCTGTCTACACTGGCCCTTGAATTTCCGGAAAAGCAACGATGCTCTACTGTACAAAATCAGC